TATGGAAGTGTAAGGGAATTGGAAGCTACTGAAGCATATCAAACATACTATATACACACACACCTCTATTTTGCAGTTTCTTGGAGCACCCTATTGCCAGCATAATTAAAATGTCTCCTTATTAAGAAAGGGTTATTTCACACATCAAGATACCAGTAACCATCAAGGCTACAGCTTTCTCAAACTTTGTAAGATATGCTGCCAGCTGGCAATTCTTCTGGGATGAATCATCCCTCTCTCACAGATTTCTTGCACAACTTCCTTACGTTTGCTATAAGTCATGCAGAGCAGGTGCTATGTGTCTCTGTTCCCAGCAAAGGCCAACAATGGAAATCACCCAATTCTACCGACAGGATGCAGCTTGTTAAATGAAATCTCACAGGACCAACAAATCTCCAGCAGAATAGGCTGCTGAACAGTTGAAATGAGATTTAAGTTAACTGTTCAGCACAGTGACATTTGTTAAAAATGAAAGCAATTAAACTATTACAAAAACCAATACAGTGAGATAAGGCAACTCAAAGAATAAATTGAATAGTGAGGGCACATATGACCAACTGGGAGAAGCTGGACTATGCAACAGTCTGAAGTACACAAAATTCTTCATTAAAATAGAGCCAGTCTTTAAATAAAGTTACTAACATTAATTTGTTACAGTTTATGGAATGGGAAATTCAACTGGTCAACCCCTTCACGCCCAAGGGTAAAACAAATTTAAATGCCTAAGCACAATTCTGCAACGTTGACGTGTTAGTAAAACCGTACATATCACCACAACTACTTTGTACATCCAGGTGGATTATACCTTTTTTTTTTTTTCTCTTTATGCCAGGAGTTTAGAGAGATACAGTGTATCTCTCTTCTCCATTCATAGAGAGAAAAAGCAAGGGGGCCGGGCTGTACAGTGAATGATCACTGTGATAGCCAATCAGAGGCTATCACAGTGATCATGTGACCCCGGAATCGGGAATCCCGGGTCCTGATCGTTAGAACGGGACCCGGGGCTCTCTGTGACACCGCGGTCTTTGTGCTGGGAGTGCGGCGAGCTTTCGGCACAAAAGACAAGTACACAAATATGTGGCCCCACAGAAAAAAAAAAAGCCCAGTTCTGTGAGGCCGCATATTTGTGTGACGTCGGCGTCAAGGGGTTGAACCCCCTTTTCTGTGCACAGTGGAAACCAGACAACACGAAATTACCATGAACCAAAAACAAACTACAGCAGATGTTCTGGCATGGCTTTTCAGATCAGCATGGTGCCCAAGTCAATTATTAGAATGAATTAACTGAAACACTAATTTACCTAGCTTTTAGTCAGTTCGATCAAGATTACAGGGAAAATGGTTTATAAAATGTAAAAAAGGATAGTGTTTGCATTGCTCACAGTAACCAATGTCAGTGCATTTTTTTTAAATAAACTAGAAAATTAATGGAAGGGGAATTCTTTTTAGGGCAACTTACTTTTTCATACAAAAAGGCAGCCTAAGCATAATGAGCTTGGTTCTGCTGATATAAAGGCCAATGTATACATACTTTTAAAAAGATGTTTGGAACACATACACAAAAAAAAAAAAAAAAAAAAAAAAAAAAAAACACACCACACAACATATACTCACATACATGGATGCAGCATTGGTCCGGTGATTAATTTGTCCCCTACAGCTTGTAAAACTGAGCAAAGACTGCTGATTGCTCAGTTCTAGGTCTTTACTGAGCAGAGAGCGGTGAGCGTCAGTCACCGACTCTCTGCTCAGCTCCTACAGCACTTACTGGAGCACTGGGCTGTGGAGGAGGTGGGAGCAGCTGGCTCAGACTCAGCGGCTTGCTGAAAGACTGAGCCATCTGCCATCTGGGTGGATGCAGACTTTAAAGTCAGGATCTTTCCAGATTCCAGACCAAAAGTGATGTCATCTGACTGACTGCAGTTTTTATCGTGCTGTCAGCTGAAAACAGGTCATGGTGCACTCAAGTGACCCACAAGAGGAAATGTGTAAATGTTTTGTATATTTCTTCATTAGGGACAGGACTGCATGTTACATGCTTAAAGTTGAGCGACACCAAAAAAGGGAAGCACCACTTTAAGGCCTCATCACCCGTTAAGGATTGGCACCTTTGGGGACCAGGGGTGGTGGTTTGATGGGGCTGAAATGTGACAGGTGCCAGCTCCCACTTCTGCTGCAAACGGTTTGCCCCACAACTACACCCCCCCCCCCCAATGCAAGTTGTCACAGCGGGTTAACCCACAATGAAGATGCCAGCACCAGGGACACAGGACAGACAGTGCAACTGGCTAAGATAAGGACATCGCTGGAGTCTGTTTTCAAAAAGTCAGCAGCTACAGTTTTGTTTTGCTTTTTTAAGCTTTTTTTTTTTTTTTAATTTTGACTGGAGCTCCACTTTAATCTTAGCCAGACGGTAGCGCATAGTTTTCATATTTTCCTTGGTCTGTTGCGCCTTTCTTGCAGAGCATTAACTCAAGTTGAGATTTACATGCGTGTGAATGAGTCACAGCAGCTGCTCTTCCTTTATCAAATAGCTCCGTCCAAGGGTTCAATTTGTGTGCTTCCAGGCAGGCATCTACTGCCGTGTTGTCTCTTTAGATAACCCAAAACACTCTGGGAATCCTATGTATTATATGAAAGCATATCTAACCCAAGAGGATAGAATATATTACAATTTAGCCTCTTATGTTCCCAGAGCCTTACCATTATGCTTTAGGGGACATGGGCAAGGTGGTTCATAACTCGACATTTGGTGGACCTGTCTAAAAGTGAGGTTACTTTGGATACAGGTATACAATTATATATGCTTCCTGACTGGGACAAACCTCAAAAAGTTTCAACAGCAGGTTTTATTGGGCCACCCAGTAAAAGAAACACCAAGGCATGCAAGACGGCTTATCTCATGAGTTTATAGCTGCACAAACTGCTGCATCAGGATCCTGAAATTCTCCTACTATACAGTTTGATCAGGTAAAGGCTAAATTATCCTGGTTAATGATTGAGAAACTTTCTGCCATCTTGAAGGATAAACTAAAATGATTCGTGGACACCTGGATCAAGTATCCCTGCGGCAATGTCTAGCGCCCCCAAGAAACATTTATGATGTTTGCAGAGCTTTATGGTTGCACAGCCTCTCTCTTTCCCCACTATCTTACTTTCCTCGCTTTTCTTAACGAATGGTACATTTATAGTAACATCCACTTGGTTGTCTTAAAAAGAATGTGTTTTACCAAACTCATTTCCCTAACTTGCTCATTTTGTCATTACTGTTGATAGAATATTTCTTAAGCTATAAAACATGAGGAAGGTTGTGGTGGGGTGGGGAGAGTGCCCCTGGTCCCAGTCCCACATCCCTTTGAACTGGGGGAGTGGGGTTGTCTCCTTTTCTAGACAGGGATAGCTGTATTTTGTATAGAAAAACGGTTAACTGTTTTTAATTGTGTATGTATCTATTTTTTGAAAGAACCACTGCTTTTATTAAAAGGAGTTTGAACTCTTACTGTACACTTTCCGAAAATACATTTTGGAAGTGGACTATATTACAGCTTACCAATCCTTAGATGTGATGTCCGCACCAATTTCCTTTTCTTAGGCTTCTTTTGCCTTGTTGATCCTGCCAGTAACATTTTGTTCCTACGTTGACAACACTCACTGTACTGAGTCATGGAGGAGCAGTGTTGTCACCCTAGGGCAGGACTACAGATCATCTCCTTCTCCTATTTTTTCTATAACATAGCGAGAGGTGTTCTGTAGCTTTCATTAGGTAGCTGGGAAAGTCAACAAAAAACTGTTAGAGATTTCAGTTTAGCTCACAGGAAGTGAACAGGAAGCTGTATTTCTGGCGGGACCAATGGGTATTTTTCAGTTCTGGCTGCAAGTATGCACTCTGAAAAAGGAAAAATGAATGCAGACACTACATTTAAAGCGGAGTTCCACTCACCCTGTAAAAAAAAAAAAAAAAAAAAAAAAAAAAAAAAAAAGTCAGCAGCTGCAAAACCTGTAGCTGCTGACTTTTAAAAAACAGCCACTTACCTGTCCCTCGGTCCCATGGTGTGTCCCCCACAGACAGTTTCACAGGCTGTCCTGTATTCCAGGAGGCCGGCATTTTCAGTGTGGGCACCCGGCTTTGACAGCTTGCGGCTTCACAGCCAGGTACCCACTGCACTTCATGAATGGTCCTGTAGTCTTCTGAGACCTGTCACGTTTTTGATCGCCTAGGTCAGTGATGGCGAACCCATGGCACGCGTGCCACAGCCGGCACGCTGAGCCTTATCTGTGGGCACGCCAGGAGAATACCGTATTTTTCGCTCCATAAGACGCACTTTTTTTCCCCCAAAAAAGGGGGGAAAATGTCAGTGCGTCTTATGGAGCGAATATAGAGCGGCCGGTCCGGTATTTCCACCGCCGCCGTGTCAGAATACCGGGCCGGCCGCTCAGCTCTGCAGTGGGACCGTACCTGTCCCTCTATCCAGCCGCGCGCTGTCTTCCCGGCTTCTGTAGTGTGCGTGACAGCCGAGTCCCAAGTGTGCATGCGCAAGAAGCAGTGCTCTTTGTGAATGGTAAGGCGGTACCTGGGACACATGACAGATCCCAGAAGCCGCCGGACCAATCACAAAGCGCAGCGCTTCTCGCGCATGCGCACTGGGCATCCGGCTGTCCGACGAGCGCCCACACTACAGAAGCCGGGAAGACAGCGCGCGGCTGGATAAAGGAACAGGTAAGATAAAAAAAAAAAAAAAACTCTGCGGAAGTAAGAGCGGGTACCTGTCAAATTCAGGTACCCGCTCCCCCCTCCCTCCCCAAAGGTCAGCAGTCATCTGTACTGTCCGCAGTCTCTGGTCATCCCTGTACCGTGTCCGCAGTCTCTGGTCATCTCCTGTACCGTGTCCGCAGTCTCTGGTCATCTCCTGTACCGTGTCCGCAGTCTCTGGTCATCTCCTGTACCGTGTCCGCAGTCTCTGGTCATCTCCTGTACCGTGTCCGCAGTCTCTGGTCATCTCCTGTACCGTGTCCGCAGTCTCTGGTCATCTCCTGTACCGTGTCCGCAGTCTCTGGTCATCTCCTGTACCGTGTCCGCAGTCTCTGGTCATCTCCTGTACCGTGTCCGCAGTCTCTGGTCATCTCCTGTACCGTGTCCGCAGTCTCTGGTCATCTCCTGTACCGTGTCCGCAGTCTCTGGTCATCTCCTGTACCGTGTCCGCAGTCTCTGGTCATCTCCTGTACCGTGTCCGCAGTCTCTGGTCATCCCTGTACCGTGTCCGCAGTCTCTGGTCATCCCTGTACCGTGTCCGCAGTCTCTGGTCATCCCTGTACCGTGTCCGCAGTCTCTGGTCATCCCTGTACCGTGTCCGCAGTCTCTGGTCATCCCTGTACCGTGTCTGTAGTCTCTGGTCATCCCTGTACCGTGTCCGCAGTCTCTGGTCATCCCTGTACCGTGTCCGCAGTCTCTGGTCATCCCTGTACTGTTAATTAGTTTGCACTACTGTACGAGTTGTTTTTTTCTAACCCAAAAGCTCGATATTCAGGTTTCATTGCAGTGTTGGCACTTCGAAAGAAATAAGTTGGTTTTGGGTTGCATAGAGCAAAATATAAAAAAAATTGAGAACATATGAACATTGAAAAATTACTGCAAATGGCCTCAAACCATTATAGCTTTCCATTAAATGCAAGACTGTATAGGTTTTACCTCGGTTTGCGAACGCCTAGGTTAACGCAATTTTTGATTTACGAATGAAAATCCATTGAAAATAATGCCTCCGTTTACAAATTTGCATTGGAAAAAAAAAAAAAAAAAAAAAAAGCGGTAATTAAAAACCGGCACCATAATAAAAACGTTGCGGGGTCCCCCCTCCATTCATGCCAAGCCCTTCGGGGCTGGTATGGGTTTTTAGGGGAACCACGCCAAAATTTTACAAAAATACCAGACCCTTATCCGAGCATGCAGCCCAGCAGGTCAGAAAAAGGGGGCCCCTCCCATATTTTTTAAAATTTTGGCATGTGAGTTCCCCTCAAAATCCATACCAGACCCGAAGGGCTTGGTATGGATGGGAAGGGGGACCCCACACAGTTTTTTTTTTAAATATTTTTTTTAATTGCTGGCAATTCTCTCTTTTACATTCAGCTGTCAGTGGGGAGCCCCGCTGACAGCTGAAACATTAACACATGGTTGTCACTACTAAAATACTGCATTACTTGATAAAATAACTTATGCGGTATTTTAGTAGCGTTTACTTTTTTCTGACCTCTGGAACGGATTAATTTGTTTACAATGCACTCCTATGGGGAACGGCGTTTTGGTTTATGTATTTTTTGCTATAGGAAAAGTCCCACAGAACGAATTAAATTCGTAAACTGAGACAGGCCTGTAATCCAATCTACATACAAAGAAAGCATTTGAAAAGAGATAGTATTTTCTTATTCAAATTAATGAATGGCAAAGATTACATTCATGATTAAGTGACATTAACTTCTGCTTCTGAAATCTCTACATTGCCTACTGATCAGTTGCAACTTCTACATTTTAGATATGTTTAAAAAGATCATAGTTACTGATGTACAGAAATGTATATATCATTTTATTTAGGAAAACTAGGCTCTTGTGGTTGTGTTCGACCCAAACATATTTTGTATCCACTGTGAATAGTGGTAGGTTTTTAAAAAAAAACTAATTTTATTGGAAATAAAAAAAAAAAACACTTTATTCTGCTATTAAATAACTAATAGTTTCAAGCACGTGGCATCACAAACTGTGTTTTGTTTAATTGCGCAGCTACAGAAGATTAACTAAAAAAAACTGGAAAAAAAACTAAGCAAAATGAAGGACAAAGACCTAAAACTTCTTTTCAGATTAAAGGAAAAAAAAAAGAAAAGTGGCTGCTAAAGCTCATATGTGCAGATCAAAGAATTAAAGAAAAACTTTGATCTACATATACAAGTGAAAAGACAAAATACACTGCAACAGTGGTGTTACAGTGTTCCCTTTATACATCAATCAAGCACGCAGCCACTGTATGCATGAAACACAGCCAAGTATCATAACTAAGAAAAGTGGACTCAGCTGGGAGTAGAGAGGTAGCCTTGGGCTTTTTAATTGACAGCTTGTATCTCAAATATCTTTATCAGAGTAAGTATACATGCTACAGTCATGTGGTACGTACACTGCTACAGTGGTCATGTGGTACGTACACTGCTACAGTGGTTCTAGAACTAAGAACAGGCCGCTTTAAGAGAAATGTAGTGTCTTGGGCACCCCAGAAGCCCTTTATCCTAGGGTGCACTTTTTCCACAGAAGTAAACAAATGGCCCATTTTTCCCACAACTCCATAATGTCCATACACACCCCTCACATTAAGAGCCATAAGGGTGTTATGGGAGATTAAAGTAAGTTTGCCTTGTAAGCCATTAACTTTCTAGGGATAAAGGCAAAATTAATACACCAGTGAGGAGTGGATAGACATGTGGGGTGCTTATTTTATCACTTTTTTTTATTAGAAAGCTTAGCAATATAACCTGGTGATGTGTACCTAAAAAGGGACAACACAGATTATGGAAGTCTTCCATATGAACGCTCTTGAGAAAGCTAGTTCCTGGCTGCCAATCTGATACTCCAACTTTGTTGTCGGAGCCGATGACCCAGGGCAAGTATAGATCTAATAAATGCTTAAACTTTTCTGATACTTCTTTACAGCACGCTTGTTTGGGGATGGACATACTGAAGTCAGACAAAGACAGGCATCTAACATCAAGCCCCTATACTTTCATGCAAGAATGGCTTTAAAAAGGGTCTGCACATCTTAAGATTCCCTGAGGATTCCCATTCCATGCAGCTTTCATTGAAAACAAGCATCCATATTGCCATACTTCCCTTCTAGTTTAAAAACAGCCCATCCACACTCTAGGTTGGTGGAGGAATGCTCCCCACTGAGCGATTGTATTCTGAGAGCAGAGACGCTTCCCCACCATCAGAGTACACTGATCAGCACAGCTGATCGAGCAGGGAAAATCCGACAGGACATTGTAAAGAAGTCGATCAGTAGATTCTGTGGCCCAGTCCCAGGAATTGGAAGAAATCCATAGTTGCACTGCCCCTGCCCTATGTTTGGTGTGCCAGAAGAAGTAAATGCCATTATCTGGACAGGGTCCTTCCAATGCTGCAACCGGTCTGCCAAAGTCTCCTCTGTAAGTTGCGATCACTACAACTGCCATAATATTCCTGTTTTATAAGTGATGTAACCAAGGCTCCACCTACAAAATCAGATTTGGGAAGGAGAAGAATGCCAGAACCAGATGGCGCAAGGGTGTGCAAAGTAAGCAATTGTGATTGTACTGTATCCACTAGACAAGCATTCAAGCCTTGCAGTACAAGTTGGGATCCACTGCAAGGGTGTGTGTGTGTGTGTGTGTTTTTCTTTTTTTATAAATCACCTGAAGTATAGCTTTAAACTGTGATTCAGTGGAGCAGCTCTGTGCATAATCTGACCACTTTCTACAATTTGGTACCCAAGTACATGACCTGCAATGAAATGCTGGGTGTTGAGCAGTGAAAAGAAAAAAGGGAAGTAGGAACAACTTTCAGGCCAAGAGAAAACTGTTCCCACGGGAACAGCATAACATGTTCCTAAAACAGAAAGTGAAAAACAGACAACTAAATGTGCAACTTTAAAATAAAGATAACAGGTGTCAAAGCCATCTTTTAAAAACTTTCACTTTAAGCAGAGGTAGGGCAAAGGCTGTCTGTCCCGTGAAAACAATGCTTGCATTCACGCAGCAAATGAAGTATGTCATTATGACAGTAGAGTGTTTTATAGCCCTATTTTCATATTTAAAAAAGGATGCAAAGTTCCTGTGTCAGCAGAAAACTCAGAATGACAAAACTTCACATGAAAAATGTGAGACATTTCCTCTGGTTATTTTAGGCAAGTGGATACATTTCAGAAATTCTTCTGTTTAGAAGTCGGGGAAGGGTGGCTGTACAGAGTCCGAAACATGCAGCTTATTACATTACTTTTTAACAGTAAGCTTAAGGGTCTGTCAGAGCCTGGATTAACAGCTTACCCAGCCCCATTCAGAATTAGGGAGACACAGATTTTTTTTTTCTTTAAAAACAGCTTTCTCCTTTTATGGGGTTAGGCAAACTTTGCACCAAGTTTGTATGGGGAAGTCTCAGTGCAAAGTTTGAACCCTAGTAAAACTGCACCCTGCCACATAGAGAAAAATTATTATGGATCTGTCTAGGCATTCAAACCAAGTAATTACCTGATCGATTTATTTCTTGAGGGATGGGGGGCACCAGCATGTTTGTATCCATTTGCTGAGAGTTGTCCTGGGTCATCTGATCTTCAGGAGGCATATAAGCTGGAGGAGGGGTGTCCGCTGAAAGACATTTTAACAAGGAAACTACTAAATGAATGCTGCAGATACAGTCACCAAAACTCAACTAAGGTTTGAAGAATGGCAGTTGGGAGTTAGGAGTAGCAAATGTTCAGGCAAAACAAAAAAAAACAAAAAAAAAAAAAAACGACAGACTCTACATCAGTATACTATAGGTAACAAGTACAGTTTATTCAGCACAGAAACTCTGACCTTGATTGTCTAGCTTTACCACCTTGTTGGCACAATATGGCACACTTCCATTTTTATTTTTTGAAGAACAGGCCCACATTTTACAATACCTTTTTCTTATACTTGCCTCATTTGCTCTCCTGTGGTTGGTCCCCAACCACAGGCACCACCCTCCTGTTTGGTTCTAAATAGGTAGCTGGCTGTTAGAAACACCTGTGCAAACACTCTCCAGGGTGAAGCAGCTTATGCCCATAGACATTCACACAACATCTAACAACGCACGCCCCTGTTACCTCCTCTCTGCAATTTGGGAACCAATTGCACCACAGCTCTGTACCCACAAGGTCAAGGAAGTGGAACAGATCGAAAGAGCCAGAGATAATGAACAGGTGCCACAGTATTTGGGGATGGTGGTCGGGAAAAAAAAAAAAAAAAAAAAAAAGAAGAAGTACTAGAATGCCTAGCATTCAATACCACTTTAAAGTATAAAGTTAAAAAGGCCATAATTTTTTTAAAATCCATATACATCTCGTCTTGGAAGTAATGCACAGGACGTAGATTAACCACTTGACAACTGAATGACGGCTACAGCGTGGTTGTCGAGTTCTGGGGGGTAGGGCGTCTCATATGACATCCTCCCAGAACGTGCCCTCCCGCACGCCCCC